ATCGACGGATCTCACACCTACTTGGGATATCACAACTACTTGAGATCTCACACCTCGAACAAAGGGGAGGCGGGACTTAGCTCATTAGCATAAGTAGGGAGAGGTGTGACCTGTCACAGCACCTGTCACTTTCTATGCATACTAATGTGATTGAAGCGGGATGAATATTACTACTGCTATCAAACAGACAGATTGTATTTGCTGACCCAGAGGAAGGGAAGGAGGGGGGAACAACCTCAGTCCAAATGTTGAATGCACCGATGAGATAAAGGATAAAGATGGGACACCTGTAGGCCTACTTGTACAGGGTGTCTTAGGTTCCCTTCAGAATGGGGTTCTCCGGGATATGAATGGAAGTGTTAAAAATACGTTTTTAAATGAATAATATAAACCCTCAAGGAATCCTAATTTTTTGGGGGGAGATTTCAATGTAATACTTAACCCAAATCTGAATACATTAAAACTTCTCTCCCCAAGGGGGGGGAATGATTGGAGATCTGTGGAGTGACCTAAATCCGACAAGGAGAGGTTACATCTTTTTCTCACATCCTCATTCTGTATACTCAAGTCTTTCTTTATATATTCAAAGAGATGTGTACACTGTAAAAATTGATGTATTCGGACCATGGATTTATCGGATCATACTTCGGGCTCCATGGACTTCATACTTGGACTTCAAAGAAAAAAAACGGTCTTGGTACTGAACTTGAGGTTTCTTAACTAAATGAGGGAGCAATTTAAGCCAGATAACAAAGGTTATCCGCACAATAAGGATAAGTGTCCCTGTTGATGGGATGCATGCAGAGCTGTCCATAGATAAAAAGTAATAGGCTATTGTTCCAACTTTAAAAAGCAGAGAAAACAAAAACTGAAGCAGCTTCACACTGGAAAGTATACATGAGAAACGTTTTAATCAACAAACAAAAATGGAAAATTACCAATTAAATTACATTTTTTTTAAACGGTTATTTTGAAAACAAAGATATAATGAAACAGGAGGGAAATCTTGCAAACAGATCAAAAAAGCAACAGGCACAAAACACAATTTATAAAATAAAGGACCCTAAAACAAGTTTCAAACACAGCTAGCATGTTGCTATCGGTAAACTTTTATAAAATGTATATGCAAACACTCAAATAGACAAAACCTATATCAAGGTATTGTTGATGTGATTACATTTAAATGGTGAGGGACAACAACAATCTAATTATGGATAAGGAATACAAAAAAATTGAATTAAAACAAAATAATGCAGCAGGCCCAGAAGGTTTCCCTCTGAATGGTTCAGGGGAAATTAAAGATATGCTGACTCCATAATGAAGGACACCTTTAACCACAGGAAAAGGATCAGACTCTTCAGGCACTTCATAACACCAACTGCGAGTTGGTTGGAGAGGCCCCTGAGTACACACACTATTAAAAGTATTTATCAGTGCATGCAGATCAGACTGGCCCATGCAGCCAATACAAAACATTCCCTTTTCACTGCTGTACCCCCGATCTCTGTGCTCTGATCAACTATTCCTCCTACAAAAGGATGTTAACAACAAACTGCTACAACTAAACTGCATACACAATTACATTTCCAGGGACAACAATTTGTTCTGGGTTGTGGTCGCAGTTTAGACACTCAGTTATTGTTCAAAATTGAAACAAAACAAAATGCAACAAAAGTTATTGCTTTTGAAAGTTTAGGGAACAAAATTATTTGTTTATGCAAAAAACAAAAGGTGATCAGGGCTACAATTGAAGTAGCATTTGAGGAGACAAGTGGGTTCTTATTGAGAGAAACTCTGCAGAGCTGCCATGGCATTGTGTCACTGAGAGTGGTCCTGAATCCACTGGCAGAATCTGCGTGAGTATTTGGCAGGGCTTACTGTGGAAAAGGCCCTGCCTGGGTATCGGAGGCTTTTCCACATGTTCTCCAGTCTTTTTTTCCAGCCATAGACAGTGAAAATGTCTATAATGCCCACAAAGTAGCGTTGTTCTGGCCCATCAATCACATGATTGCTATTTTTGCAGTTGGGCAGAAGCCTACGATGATGTTCATGGAACTCCTGCAGTTCAGAGTCAGACCTGGTTTCTTTCTCAGGGCAGCCTATCTCCTGGAGGGGGATCCCTTCCCCAGCTGCTGCCTGGGGCTGGACTGACCCCTCTTCACCCAGGGTCTCCTTCAGTAAAGGTACGGTTGGCGGGTCTGAACCTGTGGGACTATCGTCTAAGTCCAAAGACCTTTAGGAAGGACAGAAAACAATAGAGGTTCAAAAAGGTTGCATCTAAAAAAATAAGACACAATATTCGCGTTCACACCGCAGTACTTTTCCCCTCTTTTGTTCCGAAATGTCGCGTTCACACTAAATGTAACTAAATGTAGTTCATGAGAACCTTTTTACCCCCTTTTCCGTCCCTGCTAGAGAGCAGGGACTTTCATGGGAGAAAAAGTTTCCTATGTCTGATTGGCTGGGCGGAATGCAAACCACGCCCCGTAAAACTCTGAAAATGTTTTGTGAAGCCGCCATTTTATTATCCTCACATTAGCATTATTAGCATTAGCATTAGCCCAGCGCACAAACGCAGAGAGACTAACTTACGGCAACACAAAAGAAAACATGGGAGCATTGGAGATGAGGAGGTGTCGGCGTTCTGGCGATTTACTCGGAAGGCTTCAGTAGAAGCTGCTGGGAGTCCCAGCAGCTTCTACTGAAGCCAGTCCCCAACTCCGGGGACTTCCGGCTGGGGACTTCGGGTGGCAGTATACGCCGTGAAGTTGTTTGCGGCCTGCCAGTAAACCCAAAGCAGAAGAAGAAGAAGTGACGTCAGCGGCTTCATTTGCCTAATCCTCCATCAGGGACTTATTCCAGTGTGAACGCGATCTGTACTTAGTTCATGAGAACTAAAGAGTTCTCCTGAACTAAGTTCTCATGAACCTTTGTGGGAAAAGTACTGCGGTGTGAAAGCGCCTATTGTAATGGACAGCATTTGGTTTGGACTTGCTCAGGAGACATACTTTGTGGTGCGAATAACGAGGTTAGCCAATGAATGCTTCCCGTCCAGCTCGTCTCTGTGCAGAGGCTGCTGGGCCAGCAGCAGACTGTAGTCCAGCACATTGAGTTCTTGAAGGAAGGCAGCGTCCACTTTCACTTGATGGGCAAACCAGGATTTCTCTTGACCTACAGCAGCATTCATTTAGCGTGCCCTTACACAATGTGTTTCACTTTTGTTTTGCTGCTAAAATATACTGAAATAGCTCATCATCATCATTCAACATCATCAATTAGAATAGTAATTAAGTGCACTTACCAAATGCAATGGTTTGCCCTTCAAAGTTATTGTCCTTCAACACTTTTATTATTTGTTTCCCGCCTGTGTCAGGGTTAGACCATCTACCCACTTCGCAGCCTTTTATATCATATCTATGAAACCGAAAAATCACAGCGTTCATACACCCATAAAATATATCAGAAATCCATAGAAAACTTGGGAAAAACCTGGAAGCTGTACCTGATATTGATCCTGTCATCAGGGTAAAACAGGCTCTGCATCACAATAAAGTATTTCTGGAGAGCAGACAGAGAACACTGTGTTGTAAACACTGCTATTGTAAGGAAGTAGTTTAAATAATGACCCACTGGTTATTATGTTGATGAAATACCTTTATTTGATTAGGGATAACAATCCTGTGGACACCTGGAACATGTAAAGGACAATATGATATGATTAAATCATATGAATCAGAATCAAGCTTATGCCAGGTTTACACATACAGGGAATTTGCCTTGGTACCTGGTGGTGCGAACATAAACAATTGAAGAAAATAAGTTGCAATAATAGGTGGAAAAAAAAAGAAATATATAAGGAAAATAGTATTTTTAATAAACAATTTAGCATTTAAAAAAGGATACTGAAGAAAAGTATTTACACCAAAAAACAAAGACACTTGGGACAATGAAAATATGGCGATATACAGTGAATTACATTCTAAAGTGGAGGGCTCTGCAGACATGTGTGAACACATTTGTGATATTTCTAAATTAAAACATCCCACTGCAGCATTGTCCTGCGCTTCTCTTACCCAGAAACTTCACCATCAGTGAGTGAGGGTATTTCTCCAGATGGGCCATGTATGCCTGCAGGTTGGACAGCAGGAAGCTGACCTCGCGCTTGCTCTGCGTCTTCAAGAAGAATCTCTTATCATTCCTGAAACCAAGAACAACCTTATCACCAGGCAAGAACAAGAACCCAACGTTAATATTGGATGATTGTGCAAAAACCCCAGACTACGTCGAAAGGGTTTTTCTTCTACTGACTACACTTTTAAATTCTTGCGATCACCTTGACCCAGCTGGGGAGCGATCAGTCAACCTTCACATTTTAGTCACATTGACATAAATCCATGTTCTCGCCAACATATTTCACCAAGGCATTTGTTATTTTCGGCAAGACCAGCAGATTATTTTGTTACATGCTATATATGTGAAAGAGATTGTGTAGATTTAACCTTGCTCACATATCTGCATATATGTACATTCACCGGATCAGTGTAACTCGTTATGTTTGTTATTTCTATTCATACTGGTACATTTTTACATACTTATTTGGACTCTTATTATGCCCGTGTAATGTATATTCCATGTGTATTATCTGTGTTTCTCTCTTGTTCTGTTGCTGCTATGACACCTGAATTAGGGGGATCAATAAACTTCCATCTTGTTTTATCTTAAAGGTGACATGTCATGCTTTTCCGGTTATTACCCGTCCCCTTATGTGTTATGAAGGTTTTTCTGCATGTAAACGATGTGCAGAGTCAAAACCCTCAAAGTACACCCTGTAGCGAGTAAAAAACAGAAAACAGAAAATACCTCCCCAAAATGCCTCGTTGGTGAAACGTCATCATGACATCATCATCCATTTGATTCTTCCGGGTACGTGCTTACGAAAGCACGTACCCGGAACTAAATGGGCCAATCCGTGGAGCCGTTACGTTACGTCCGCTGAGCCGTTACGTTAAGCCCCCGCTGATTGGTCCAAATTGACNGAATAATCGATTAATCGTTTCATTAATCGATAGATTAATCGATTATCAAATTAGTCGTTTGTTGCAGCCCTAGCATGCAGCTTTGCTGATTTCTGCTCCCTGCTGCAGGCTGATAACAGACAGTTGGGATCGAGGTTCTCTCTGCAGACCCATTCTCACAGCGTTTATCAACCTATAAACCTTTTACTTACTCAATATCAAGCCACACTTATTGCTTTTATTTCGGCTGTGATTTTGTGTGTGTTCAGGTTGAGTTTGGCTGTGTTTGGCTGTGTATCACTAAACAAGGAAATCAAGGAGGGGGGGAGCTGCAGCGACATACTTTACAAAGATGCTGTATGCAAAACCAATGTGAGTTTGGAAAATTGCATAGTATTTTTCTATTTTAGTATACCTCAACAATGGAATTATGATCAGTGTAAATGGCCATGACACCTCTCCTTTAAGTAAAACTCCCAGCAAACAGTCAACAGGAAACATGGCCGAAACAATGAGACTTCTAACTAATACAAATTGAAAATCAGTCTAGTTGGCTCCTATTTTACAAATCTTAAAGAATATACTTGGAATCCTTTGGATCAGCTCTTTAGTGCTGACTAGAACAGTTGCTCAGTGGTGGTGCCATGTAGGAACATTTAAAAAAGGAAGGTGCTTCTTGCCTCCACAATTGTATTTATCTATTTATCCATCTATTCATCTATATTTATTTTCTATTGAAATGTTCTGGCGCAGGCCTTCCATGTTTTTGAGGAACCACGCACAGAACAACCCAGATTGACAACATTCACAAACAGCCCTCTAACAACCCACCCTCTCCACCTGGCTAAAGGCTAGACTTTGGCAGCAGAGGTCGGAAGTAACTAAGTACATTTACCTAAGTACTGTAGTACAATTTAAACTAAGTCATTCAAACTAGCTGCACCTTTACCAGCTTTGATAACACTTAAATGCATCATTAATTATAAAACATATCATATATATTATTCTGAAATGGACCAATCTGCACAATGACTACTTTTACTTTCGCTACTTTCACTATATTTTGATGATAATACTTTTCTTTTACTTGAGTAACATTTTGATTGCAGGACTTTTAATTGTTAAAGAGTATTCCTATACTCTGGTACTTCTACTTTCACTCAAGTACAAGATCTGAGTACTTCCCCCCCCCCCCCACTCCCCTCTGATTGGCAGTGAAAGTTTGACGTGGACGTGAATCAATGTAAAGGCATACTGGGCTATAATTGAGACATGTGAGTTTATTTATGTGCATGCCCTTGTACTTGAAGACAAGGGTGTTACGATGAGATAAAGATAGACTAGACTGTGTAATAGAAGATTACACTTACGTGACAAAGAAATCTGCCTTGCTCTTGGAGTTACTGACAAACTGCAGGTAGCATTGGTCTGAGCAGAGGGAGTTCATGTACTCCTCCTCTGTGATGTCCAGAGAACGCCTCTGTTGAGCAAACACTGATGCTGCAAATGTCTGCATCTGAAAACCCTGCAAGGCAAGGAGAGGTGTCTGGGTAATGTCATAGTGTTAGAGATGGTTGAGAGATATTCTTAGAAGGAGCAACTGAAACTCTGAGAACATTATGAACATATGAAAACTCGATAAAGCTTTAAAAAATGCTGTTATTAAAAAATGCCCACTCACCTCATGAGTTTGAGTTTCCTCTGCCGCGAATTGTTCAGCTGCAGGTGTATCCTGTGCAAAAGGTTTTCCTGAGTGAATTTACATCTACAAAGTGTCATGTTTGGGGCCTTAAATCAAACGGCTCTTCACCTGGCCTGATGTGTCCATTGTGGTCTGTATTGAAGAATGCATGCCTTCTTTTATCATGGATGTCAGTTGGTAAAACTCATGCTCTGGGTTGATCTCAAACACCCCCACCATCCTCCAGCGCTGTCTCAGACGCCACCAGCGTCCCTGCCTGGCAGCTCTGGAGGGGCCAGCAGCTTTTCTGTCTTCCATCTGTGACACTGGGGTATTCCAATACAGTTAATTGCTCGCATAAACATGTCTAAAGTATATGATCATGTGCCAAGAGCAACGTTTTTAAATGTTTTAAAAAGCATGGGCTGCAGTGATGTCAATGTATGAGTCACAACCAATGTTCTGGGATCCAGCATAAAATAAGACAGGTTCATTTGTATCCCTCCACAAGAGTTGTCCAACAGGTTTTAAATAGTTGACAATAAAAGCATGTAAAACCAGTTTCACATGACAAAAACAAAGACCAACCAACAACCCTCTTGTTTGAAGACTAGTATCTGTTTTGGACATCAGTCTGCCGTGGTCACATGTATGTGTTGTTTAGGTTTGTAATTCATGAATATACGAAGACAAGTTTAATTTGAATACAAAATAGCTGATTATCATAGAGCGTTGTAGCATTTTTAGCATTGAGACTACAAATCCGACTTTCCAATGTGCTGGTGCAAATAAGTGTGCACCACCACATGTGGAATTCTGGCTTGTAAAAAGGGAATTAAAAAGACATAATTTAGGTTTTAAAACAGTCGCACTTAGAGTTGGTTAAGGTGACAGACAACACCATACTAGCTAAAAAAGCATAATCACAAGCTCAAAAAACGAAAAGTCTTTAGTTCTGGTGATGAGTCTAGTTTCTACATGATTCTGAAAAGCTAAATCACGCTACAATAAGCTCAAATAGCTCTTACCTGGGTTCTTGCTTGTGGTAAAAAACACAGCAAATTGTTGAAACGTCTGAAGTGAGCCTTGTCTTTGTTTTTATGATGTTCCCTCCCTTTCATGAATACGGCCAACACATTCCAGAAAGGTTAGGCAAGCTCACAGGGTGTGCCACATGAGGGAAGGTGTGTTACGTAGGCGTTTCTGCACTGAAACCTGAGGAGCAACCACCTCAACCGCACATTTGTGTAAAAACAAAAAAAAGTGACAAATTAATAACGGTTAGTCCAACAGAAAACAAAGACAACACTTCATAAAATGCACAATGACTCATAGCACCAGTCACTGTGCTACTTCCTGTTGCTGCTGTATTTCTGTATGTTGGTTCCATGTGTTACTGTAGCTCCTCTGGACCATCGCTGCTCTCCCTGAGAGACGACTGGACCTCAGAAACAGGGTGGGTATTCCCTGAGCCATAATCATAATTAAAGTGAACAATTAGCCAATACTTGTTATCATATTTAATATATCAGGTCAGGTGCAAGCAGCAATGTAGCCCAAATTGACTGATCTTTTTGTTCTATGAAAGTCGGCAACAGGTGACACGTAATCAACATGTTTATGTTAACAAGGGATCAAATGATTATGATTAAATGATTATATAACGTGAAAGGAGAATGACCACCTGACTCAGCAGGTCCTTTCCAGTAAACCTGCTGTATACCAGCCTTGAGGTCATGGTTTGGTGTTACAGCACCTTCCTCCCGTCATGTTTATCAGATGCCCAGTGAGGGGATTGGAGGCTCGTGTTGACAGAACACCAGCTCATTTTAAATTCATTTCTTTTCAGATAATGTTTATATTCTAAGCTGTCCTGGTCTAGAAGTGTTCCAGGATCAATCATTCATATTGTATTATTTCATGCAGCATATATGTTTGTCTGTTTGTGTCCTCAGGCTCTCTGTCCCGACTGACATCACATACTGACATCTACCAAGCTCTTGCCTTACAGAGAAGCGAGAGGTCAATGTCAAATAATCAATTTAGTTCATCAAAACAGCAACTTAATAAATTGTTGATGAATAAATTAGCTTTGTAATATGTATTTGTTAATGCATTCCTCAGAGTTTTTTCATGTTCAATTTTAAGTCCATAACATTAATGTTAAGTTATATATGACACCTACTGTATATGAACTCCTCTTATTTGCTCAAATTCCATCAGTAATGTGTTTTGACGTCAGAATACTATGTCAAAAGGCTGAGTGAGGACATTGAGAATGGGCCAATGTCCATTCAAGTGTCTAAATTGCAAGGACACACACTACCATTCTTAAGTTGGACTTATAGGACTTATACGGTCGTGACTCTTTGTCTTTAAGAGTCACCAACATTCGGCTGGGGCTTTCCCTTGACTTTGTTTGTTTCACTTTCACATCCCATTTCTTTGGAAAGGCTGATATAATAGAAAATAGAACACATGTTGAAACTGCATGACATCCGAACATGACTCCATAAATATAGAACTGGACTTTAATCAAAGTTATGCTGTAATATGTCTTTACTGAGGACTTTTCTTTGTCCAAATGTGCTGTTAAGGCGAGACACCCCAGGTGAATAGGGCAATTTTTTAACTTAAAGGTATCAGCTAGAAATTTATCCAGTTAATTACTTACAATAAGGCAATTGTCTTTTGTATTACAAGTTTTCTGAAATAGCATGTTTAAATATGCAAATTAGCCATTATCTCATCAAATATGTGCATATTTTAACACATTTCAGGAATCGAAATCTGAACTTTGGATAAAGCCAGGTTAAAAATTCTTGTTTCATTTTGTAGTCATATTAGTATCTAAGGCTTTTACAAAAGGGATTTTGGATATCTCTTTTTATCACTCCATAAATCAGAAAATACTGTCAACAGCCCTAAAATATCAATTTTTGCCATGTTTTTAGGTATACAATGTTGTATAATTCAGGCTATGAATGATATGTGAACAAACCCTTCTGTNCATTTCCTTTGTATCAGCAACCAATCGTGAAAGTACAAAGGGGTCTTAAACCAAGAAACGAAATCTCATTGGCTGGTGTCAATTTCAGACAACGTGATTCGTTCAGATGCGTCACGTGGTGTGCTAAAACACTTCCTGGTTAGCTTTCCGCTAGAAATGTAAATCTCAAAATGGCAAAAGAACGGCGAAAAAAAAGTTTACAGAGAAGACGACAACAGTTGTCACTTGCACGAAGCAAGATTATACAAAAAACAAATGACGCCGAACATGAAATACCTTCACGGAGAGCTTCGAGGCGCAAGCTGTCATCCAAAGAACAGGAGGGCTTAGCTAGCGCCTCGCTGCAATCTTTAAAGGTCGTTTTCTCAAAATGAGTTTTTTCTCCTACTCTGAGTTCGAAATTTCAACTTCAGTAGCACGTAGACACACCAAACCTTCCAGTTATATTCCTATCAATATTATGAAGGCTTTTACAGAAGGGTTTGTTCATATATCATTCATAGCCTGAATTATACAACATTGTATACCTAAAAACATGGCAAAAATTGATATTTTAGGGCTGTTGACAGTATTTTCTGATTTATGGAGTGATAAAAAGAGATATCCAAAATCCCTTCTGTAAAAGCCTTAGATACTAATATGACTACAAAATGAAACAAGAATTTTTAACCTGGCTTTATCCAAAGTTCAGATTTCGATTCCTGAAATGTGTTAAAATATGCACATATTTGATGAGATAATGGCTAATTTGCATATTTAAACATGCTATTTCAGAAAACTTGTAATACAAAAGACAATTGCCTTATTGTAAGTAATTAACTGGATAAATTTCTAGCTGATACCTTTAAGTTAAAAAAATTACCCTATTCACCTGGGGTGTCTCGCCTTAATGGCTTATCAAGAACTCAAACACAACATCTTGGTGTCATTCTGGACAGCTCCCTCTCATCTGCACCCCACATAAAAAACATCACCCGGACTGCATTCTTTGTACTGTCTGACATGTTTGTTTACTGTCCTGGCTTCACACCATTTACGTCACAGCCAGGCATGAGTTAGGGAGCGCTGGATTTGTGAAAAACTCCCCTCTTCCTAAACCACTAATACCACAGTACTGGCATACCGGGAGGAGCAGAGTGAAAAACAAGCGCCCCTCTTCCCAATCCACCCACACCACAGTATTTTTTTCTTTTACCCAAAAAGATATTGTATATTATCTGGGCTATTAATACTTTTATCGGGTTTATCTGGATGACGTCATAATTCCTAATATCGGACCGATAATTATCGGGCCGATAATTATCGTGCACCACTACTTAAAACCTTTCCTTGGAATATGTTATGAATTGTAAGGTGTCCTTGGGTGCTTTGAAAGGCGCCCCTAAATAGAATGAATTATCATTATTATTTATTATCTGAAACGATGTAATAACATTTAAAACTTTTTCCAGTCACTTGGCCCCTGCATTCAGCAGCAGCAGGCCATTCACTTTGATTTGATCCCGTTATGAAATGTCATCATTTCGACAATAAAGAAATGCTACATAAACGTTATCTTGCACATTTTATCTAACCATCTCCGTTTCTAACTTTCAATATATTTTAAAAGAGATCTCTGTCTTTCATCTGCGTGCGGGGGCGGGGCCTCACAGACACGCTGCATCTCTCTCTCGCTCACAGACATGCTGCAGCGCTGTGCAGTGTGCACACAGTTCTGCGGGTAATGAATATTGCATTTGTGAGGAAACTTTTCCACCAATAATTCCAATAAGTATCCAAAATGTATTCACTTCAGGTTTTACGAAAGTAANGGAAAACGTACAAAATACACATTTAAGTGTTTATTTGACTATAGTTTGTCTATTTGCGTCAGTAGATTTCTCCTAAATTCACCAAAAGTTAGCTTTCTAACGTAACATTAGAAAGCTAACTTTTGGTGAATTTAGGAGAAATCTACTGACGCAAATAGACAAACTATAGTCAAATAAACACTTAAATGTGTATTTTGTACGTTTTCCTTCCAAAAGCCTGAAATAAAACATGTTATAGAATCAAAATAGCACAAAATCTCAAAATTGACCAGTGCTTGAAAAACGATGTTTTTGCCTGCCGTGT